GAAATGTTCTACTGCTTCGACAATTGCCAGTGTTTCTAGATCATATGAATGATGCGGGCTTCACAGGCGGTAGTGCGTCTGCTGTAATATGCAACTGGCTGTAGAATGCCATTATTCTTTTGGAACACCTCCTAGGCCTATAGAACTGGCATAAGTATGGAGTTCACAGTGCAACTCAGGGTCATATAGACGCAACACAGGTGAATCAGTTAGCTTCTTGATGAGGAATTGCCTTGCTGACTCACATTCAGGTGTCCATTTGAACGGCTGATCTTTTTTTAACAAGGATGTTATTTGTTACTGTCACTTGAGAAAAACCCTTGATGAAGCGGCGAAAATATCCTGCCAACCCCAAAAATTGCCGGACACCTTTCACATTTGTAGGTTCAATGGTTTGTGTTAATGCATGGACTTTTCGTGGACTCGGACGTACTCTTCCTTGACTCAGTTTCACTCCTAAATATTCAGTTTCTTGGGCAAAGAAAAGACACTTGTCATAATTGAAAGAAAACCCTGAGGTAGCTAGAGCATCTAGTACTTCTTCTAAGTTTTGCAGTCCCTCTGAAATAGTAGTCGATGGCACCAATACATCATCTCAGTAAACAAAAGCCTTTTTGCCTTCTAGATTTCCTAATGCCTTGTCAATAGCTCGTTGATAAGTACTTGGTGAATTAACGTAACCAAATGGCACTCTGTTCCACTCGTACAGTCCATCTGGCGTTACAAAAGCTGTAATATGCCTGGAAGACTCATCAATTTCCATTTGGTGGAAGCCGGATCTCATATCTAAGGTTGTGAAGTATCTTGCATGGCATAAGGCATTAAGTTGGTCCTGTATAAGTGGCAAGAGATATCTTTCCTTAACCACTTTTTTGTTTAGATCACGGTAATCCACGCACATTCTCGGTTGGCCATTTTTTTTGTTTGTTACCAACACTCGCATATTCTGAGTGACTTTCGCGAAATATTTTGTCCTTTAAAAGTTCACTTATATTATTCGCGACTTGAATCCGCTCCTGGTATGCTAATCGGCGAGGACGATATACCACTGGAGTACTGTCTTTCAAAGTGATTGTCATTTTTCCAGTTAAAATATGATCAGGCGTTTTAGCCCTATATTTCACCAACAGCTTTTCTACATACAACTCTAAGTCAGTACCTAAATTAGGTAGATTAACTTTTTGAATCGGGCACAGTTGATATTGTAACTCAAGTCCGGTACTGTCTTTCACTATCTGCACAAAAGGCCGACTTATAATGTCCAAGCCAATAAGAATGTCCAACTCGCCCGGAATCACTTTATCTGGTACCACGGCAAAGTTAATCACTAATATTTTTGTAGACAAAACAAATATCAACTCACAAACACCGACTGGATAAATGATTTGGTTTCCGAATCCTACGAAAGCACACACGTCACGATTTGGTTTTATTTTACCGTCCAGGGCAAGAACTACGGAATGTTTTATAATTGACCGCTCAGCACCTGTGTCGATGAGATACGTGAATGAAAGCGCTTTTTCTTCGCATAATACGGAGGATATCGGCGTTGTTGACAGATGGCGTCATTTCCTCATCAACAACGCTTTTTTAGGCTTCCCATGCTTCAGCCAACAGTTGACGTCAGTGTGACCCATTTTCTTACAGAAATCACATACAGGAACATTTGCTTTGTCGTTGGCAGACGTTGACGCACTCTTAAAAAATGATTCAACGGGCTCTGCACTTTTCTGATTCTGGACCAATCGGCATTTGCTTTGATGGTGTCCAAGCCTGCCGCATTTGAGGCATTTACTAGTCGATGGTTCAAAACGCACGACCCTTGCATCGTATCTTTCTTTTATCCTTCGTTCCTCTCGTTTTTCGGCGCTATTCTTCAGCGATCTTGCACGGCGGGCATCAAACTCGCTGAGCAATACTAATAAGTCACGTTCGGATGTTGGCTTTTGCACACGGATTGCGGAACGGGCTTCGGTATGTTCCAATCCATACTCAACCATGCTAAGAATAATATTCCAAACCGGTTAACTGAACTTAGTTTTTGGTTACCATAATCAGATAATGATTCACAGTCTCGGCTACTTAGGGTTGCAGCGATATGTGCCAGGGGTTTCACGATCAGGAAATGCTACAATAAGATCTTTGCAGAAATTGTCCCATGTCCTTGGAAGGGGCCTCCAATCACGATAATAATGGCATCCCCGAGACTTCAAAGCATCTCCAGCTTTGCTGATCATTAAAATATCGCTGACTTTGAGTTCTTTCTTTAATTTTGAACAATCTTCAAGCCAATCATTGATTGGGTAAGAACTTTTATCAGGGTCATAGCTCGTTATCTCAAAAGAAGGCACTTGTGAACTCGAGGTCTCCATTCCTGAGTCACTAGGCGTTGGATGCAACGGTGACGCCACGCTCTTTGTTTGACTTGTTAATAAGGCAATTTGTTTCTGCTGGTTGGCCACTAAGTTGAAGAGTGTTTCCTGCCACTGAACCCTAGGACGCTTTTCACCAAATGGCAGAGTTTTTGTCTGCTCAAAATCACTGTTTTCACAATCACTAACGATTTCGCCTTCTTCTGCCATTTTTTCCTTTTATTTTTCGGACCCGTCTGGGGAAAAAATCACTTTTGAACTTCCAACGAGCAATCCAATGGACAAGAGTCGATCCCACTTCTGATAATAACTTTATTGACTTTTTTTGCACAAATAATAATACTCTTATTTTTTACAACAAAACAATAGCCCGTAAATAAAACAAAGTTGCTAAGCAATAATCGGTACGGCCACTTATTGACTTTCACTTTTTGCCGTATTGACTGACTCGATGACAGCAGGGCTCGGCTATCCTTCTTTAACACACCTGTGTTCGGTTAGTTAGGTAATTTTGGTTAGTTAGGTGATTTCGGTTAGGATAGGTGATTTCGATTTTCCTGTTTACTAACATTTATACCTAGCTTATAGTCTAGTCAAGTTTTCAGAAAGTTGAAGTTTTAGAAGCATTTCATATTACTTTTTAGCAAATGGTATGTTCCCCGTATTTCGACCCCGATGAAACCAAAAATGCCTGTTGCCAAATCGAAATCTCAACCGGAAGTGAAATATCCAAGATGGCGGTCGAAATGGCGCTAAAACCGGAAATCGGCGCTGTGAAGACGCCATACAACTCACGAAAAATATCTTCTTATATGTTTTTAAGCACGAGGAATCCAAAATTGCCATGGGTGAGAATTTTCAGATCATATCTCAAAATGAAAGATTTTTTTTACTTCAATGTTTTTACGGAAAACAAACTCATGCTGAGTTTTGTTATGGGAAAGACGTTTCTTGTGCGTTACGGAGTAAAAAATATGTATGCGATCGTTACTTTTCAGTAATTCAAACAAAGCATCAAAAGTTTGAGCCACAATGTTGGCAGCAGTTCAAAGTGTTGTGAGTGTAGCAGCACTGCGCCGGCGAGCTGGCTATTCCCCTCCTCCGCCTGCAGGCGCGTTGCAACCTGTCGTGTGATTGTGATTTATTTGTGAATCTGTGGACTACATAGTAATAGTGTTTGGAACCATCGCTGGAGTTATACTTTTAATAGGTAAGTAATACAATACTTTTTAATGCAGGCAACTTTTTATTTCTCTTGTTTCTTTGCATTTTTAAGGGAGTGAGTTTATAGGTTATGCCACTACAGACGTTGATTTCTTTCTTGTAACTAAATTCATCAAACTAAATTCAAACTGCATTGTGTTTGTGTTGTCCATGTTCCATATTTTAGGTGTATTGTGTGCGTCTGTGGTGTAATCCATAGAGGTTATGTGAGCAATGGTTTTCATTCACTGGTGTTGGTGCACTTAAAACTCCATTTAAACCTCCAGTTTAGGGTATGTGTTTTGTGTGCTGTACGGTTGTGGTGTCCCTTCCTTTCTCTCTTCGTAACCCTTTTCTATTTTCCTAGGCTTTGATAATCATGGAGGGCAATAAATGTGACGGAGATTTGGTAAATAGCAGTCAATGTTTAATATGCCAGAAGCACAATCCGAAGGACTCTCTATCACAGCTGGAAGAGGCTGGTAAAATACAATTAGTAGCATGTGCAGGGCAAAGACAGCAAGAATTTGACAGCCAGTTCAGTCAAGCCATTCTACGGATTTTGAAGTTCCTGAAATATCAAGACGATCAGAAATGGTATTACCACAGAGGCTGTTATGCCACCTTTACTTCTGCTACTAAAATAAACCAACTGAAAAAGAAAAATGAGAAAGTAATACAGAAACTGGATGACAAAAATACAAAAGGCACTCTAATGGCTCGATCGACGACAGGAAAAACTGATTAGGACAAATGCTTGCTTTGCCAGAAAGAAAAGTCGAAAGAACGAGTTAAGCTTATAATGACAAAAAATATGAATGAGAAAGTAGCAGATTTGTCTAATTTTGACTACAAGCTGAATGTCAGGGTTAGTGCAGTGGGAGATTTAATAGCTGCGGAAGGCAAATACCACAGTTCCTGTCTGTTGAGTTTTCGATAGTTAAGAGAAAGCTGGAAAACTTCTGGTATAATGCTGCGAATCCCTTCGATTTTGAGGCAATGCCGCAAGCAGTGCAAGATTCCAGAGTAGAAGACCTAACTTTCTTAATTGGCAGATCTGAGAGTGAGAACAAAATTGGCTGGACAGAATTTTACAGAAGGGAAACAAACTCTATTCCCGATGTATCGAAAGCATATGTCCGGCAGTGGCCTTGGAGACTTGTGGGTCTCAAGTAAATTGTTGGCAGAAGGCTCGGCGACTAAAGTTCATGATGGAAAAGCTTATGGAAAAGGCATGAGAGCCCATATGCTGACACTGCAGGCCTTTTGGCGTCTCTTGCACCCGCAGTACTTTCCAGAAGCTGAAAATCTGTCATCAAAAGCATGCCACTCTGACGAACTTCGAGAATATCTCACTTCCCCAACTCTACTACTTCTGCAAGAAAAATCTGAAGAGGACAAAATTTTTGCGTCTTAACTCTTCTTATGTTTACAAGAGGAATCCGAGGTGGAGACTGGGAAAGCTACCGTGGTGCACTTTCAGACATGCTTCCTTACATAGCTTTATATGATCACGGAAACTATTTGAAGTCCCTTTCCGTCCATATCGCAGACTTGAATCAGTTGCCACTTGAAGTCGAGGCTGGTTTTCACTCTGGTGACTTTGCTGTGCTGAAGACCAAGAAGAAGTTTTCTCAGGTAGAACTAGATCATGCTCAGGAGTGAGCTGTTGGCACGTGTAAAACTGCAACGGGTGGCATTCTTGGAATAACGCAGGATGTCAGGACTCTTCAGCGCTGGGCATTGTCCCTTCATTTTAGGACTCAGATATCCGAGCAAACCTATAGTATGTTCTCAAAAGCATCAAGTACTCTATGTCATAAAGAAGAAACAGGTAGCAGGCGTTCGCGAGACCTTCATGATGAAGACGCAATTCTTCAGCTTATGGAAACGTACAATCTGGGTTCCACAGAAAGATGCTGTACAGTATTGAGCAATGTGGCTACTAAGGATATAGCAACGACAAAGATTTCTGAAGCTCTTCTTACTGCGAAACAACGCGGGGCTGAACTGGTGCAAAACTTTGCTCGTCAAAGGCTTGTCCAAAATCCAGAAAACGGCAAGTTTTTGGTTAACTATCATGCAACATTACATAAAAACAACGCGCTTACTTTGGGCGATCTTTACAAGGAAATGCCTACTCAAGCATCTAATACTAAGCAAGTAATGGACACTGACAGAGACTTTTTGCGTATATTGATTGCGGCATGCAAGGGAGGTAGAAAAATTGACCTCAAGAAAATCTTAAAGCACGAGCTTTGCAAGGTTCGTGTATCATTAGCTACTGCTTACGGCGAGCTGCGAACAGCAGAAAAGGCTTCGTTGGTGAAGGAAATCCTGATGGGAATAGAGTGTCAAAGCAAACTCTCTTTTGCTAAAAACGACTCCATCCTCATGATTGATGGGATGGCATTTGTCTTGTCCTTGGGCCGCCCGCAGCTAGCTTAAACTTTTGGTGGCTACGCTGACTGCTTTATTAAAAGAATATTGAGTCATGGATATAAGTACCATGAACCGCACATTGTTTTTGATCGGTACAGGGCTCTTTCTGTAAAAGGTGAAACTAAGAAAAAAAGAGCAAAGGGTTTTGCTCCTGTGCGCAGAGAGATCACTGACAGCATCGTTCCATTACCAGAGAACTGGAGCAATTTTTTATTTCTTTCTGAGAACAAAGCTGAGCTTTGCAGGTTTTTGTCAGACAAAATATTAGAGCATGACTTTGGAGATCTTGAAGTAGTACTTTCAGGAGGACTCGAGGATGAGTTACATGCTCAGTCTACTGACCCAAACCGCAATGTTGATGGACTCAGTGCGTCACACGAGAAGGCTGATACTCGTATGATTCTTCATGCTTTCCAAAGCACTGCTGCCAATGTAGTTGTGATAACCAGGGGCACTGATGTTGCACTTCTTCTTGCACACCATTTTGGAAAAATGAAGTGTTCCAAACTGTGGGTTATGAGTGGAACAGCAAGGGATAAAACATATATTCCAGTGCACGAAATTTGCAAATCGCTTTCAGAGGAACAAGTTACAAATCTCTTAGCTTTCTATGCTGTCACTGGCTGTGACTCGACGTCCAAGATTGCATCCATCACTAAAGTCGGTGCCTGGAAAACTTTCTTTGGTGGAAACTGCGATTTCCTGAGTGAACTTGGCTGCTCACCACTCAGTGAGGACGCACTGAGAAACGTTGAAGCTTTCGACGTCAAGTTGTACAAGGTACGTCTACGTATTCAAAGTCGGGTGTTTTCTTTGCAATAGGCAACTTTCATTTGCATTATTTTTTCCATCTTCTCTCGCACCTCCGCCAACGAAATATCAAAATGCATTATCCTAGGGTATCAAGTATGATGGTCGCACTAGTGTAACCGATTTTCTAGAGCGAATTGAAGAGCTTCGTTTTACCAGGAATGTAGCAAAAGAGCACCTCTTGCGAACTGCGCTGGAACTTCTGATTGGTGACGCTCCGCTCTGGTTCCGAACTAGAGAAATCCTGTGTTGGGACGACTTGGTTCTTCAATTGAGAGACACTTTTCAGCCATACGATTATGAGTTTGGTCTGTGAGATGAGATTCAACGCCGCACCCAAGGTGCGCAGAAGCGAATCATCAGTTTTGTCGTTACCATGGAAGAACTTTTCCCTAAACTTCCAACTCCCCATCCGAAGTTGCTCAACTTCAAGTTATCCGACGCAACCTTCTTTCACATATTCCGCGACGCCTGCCGACCGAGCGCCTTGAGTCCTCAATCGCTCAATCGAGCTATCAAGGAAACAGAAGCCCGAGTTCAGCGCTTCATACCTCCACCCACCACCTATCGAACTCTCTTGGAGCCCGCTCTGGCTTACCATGAACCTTTCCCTCAAATCGCCATCCTGGATGAACTCGAGTGCTTCGACCACACTGAGTGCTCTGATCCTAACAAGGATAACCTCATTGATTTGGCCGCGGTCACTACTTCCACGCTAAAGTGTTGGAAATGTCACGAGCCTTGACCGACTTAGACCCACAGTCTTCCTTTTTCCCTCAATTCATAAAATCTTGGGGTCGACAGGATCAAGATCATCCTTGTTTTTATTCTATCTCACGCCAAATGGTATATTCGACCCTATTTAGAGGTCATCATCTATGGAAAACCTATGTTGGCTCTTCTTGATAGCGGTTCTACGCGTACCATTATCGGATCTAAGGTTGGAGTGTTCTCGAACCTTTTTGTAGGGTGAATGCTCAAGCCCAATCTGAATGCATTGTCGCTAATGGTGACAGTTGCCAAGGAATCGGAGCTGCGAATCTCCCCATTCAGTTACGTGACAAAGTGGTCTTGTTGGAAGTCCTTATCATCCCTTCTCTTCTACATACCCTTATCTTGGGTGTAGATTCTTGGAAAAGAATGTAGATCGTTTTTGATCTTTATGCTTCAGAGTGGTATTTTGGGAGAGATCCCAACGCTATTCCCCAAGTCTGCGCCGTTCAACCAAAAGAGTCCCTTTTGCCTGATCAACGACAAATTCTGCACGAACTGGTTAAGAGAGTTTTCACGTCAATGAGTGACCAGTTAGGCTGCACTAATGTGGTGGAACTGGTAATTAAAACTGGAGCATCTCCCATCAAACAGCGGTATTATCCATTGTCTCCAGAAAGAAGTTAACATCGAATTGGAACAAATGCTGTCTTGTGAGCCTTCTGACTTTCCGTGCTCTTCTCCAATCGTAATGATTCGCAAGAAGTCAGGAGGATGGAGATTCTGTGTCGACTATAGAGCATTGAATAAGGTCACTACTCCTGATTCTTACCCCCTTCCCAATGTTAGCTCCACCTTGGACGAGCTTCGTGACGCACGATACTTGACTACTCTTGACATCAAGTCGGCCTATTGGCAAATTCCCATCTCCCAACAATTTCGACATCTCACTGATTTCACCGTTCCTTTCCGGGCTCTATTCCAATTCAAGCGAATGCCGTTTGGTCTGACAAACGCTCCTGTAGTATGGCAGCATTTGATCAATAGGGTCGTCGGTTTCGATCTTGAACAGTATGCTTTTGTGTATCTTGATGATGTTATCATCTGCACCTCAACTTTCGAAATGCATATTGAGATATTGGAGCAAGTGAATGAGAGGCTCAAGGGAGCTGGTTTAACCTTGAACGCCGAAAAGTTTCAGTTCCCAAACCCGAACTTAAGTATTTGGGTTATGTGGTAAACTTAAATGGGTTACTTGTCGACTCGTCGACCATTATTAAGATCCCTCCTCCCAAAAATGTTGCGGAAGTGCGCTGTTATTGCTCCCCTTACTGCACTGACTCGTAAAAAAGTAGAGTTTGCTTGGGATGCTAAGTGCGACGAAGCGCTCAGGTTGATTCAGGAGAATCTTATCAAAGCCCCAGTATTATCTTGTCCTAATTGTGTGCTATCATTTATCGTTCAGTGTGATGCCTCCAATTATGGTTTTAGTGCTGACCTTTCGAAGAATCAAGAGGGAGATGAACACGTCATCTGTTATCTTAGTCAGTTCTTAACTAAAAACGAGAGACGGTATAGCACGACGGAGAAGGAATGTCTAGCAAATAGTAAATTCATATTGAGCTATTCAAATACTTCCGTGAAGGCAGATACATTATTTTGGCAGAAAACTTTTGCTACAATTCCTTTTCCATATCAAGCGATTTTACATTAAATAGGTTATCGAAAAATTGCCTAGGAAGGCTGTAACCACCTTTACTAACATCACCGATTTCATTCTTATTCTGAATCATTTTCCACACTCTTCGGAGCATGCATCATGCTCACGAAGGCAAAGAAGAACAAAATATATTCTCAGAACTATCGTCCTATAAGTCGCTTGTCTCTCCTGAACTAGGTGTCAGATAGAGCTATCATGAGGATACTGCGTTGGCTAATACGTAATGTATAGCGCTGTGTGGACTATAAATTTTACTTTGCGGTGCAACCTCTAAATAATGGAATAAAGTACTTCCCAGTTATTTTGTGAGTGCTACTCCTGCAGGGTTGATGGTTGATGCGACACGAGCTCCACCTTATACCAAGTGTATAATTACGACCAAATCAAAATTGGAGACGATGCGCCTGTGTGTTGCTTCTTATCAGGTCTCTAAGCAAGTATTGAGAATACTCGTGTTTTGAGTCGTACGTCCCACCCTCAAAATTTAGAGGTTCCATTATTTACGCGGAAACAAAAAATGAGAGCACACCTTTTATGTATAAGAATTTGTACCTTTGCCAAATTGTATTAAATTTGCTTGAAAATAGAGACAAAACAGATACTGTAGAACAAAATATTGGGCTGCATAGCAGGTCACTTGTCTTAGTTACAAGCAATCAGAGTAGAAGCGTTTAATATTCTAGATCTAGAAAATTGGAGCAGCTTGACTTTTGTCACCAGATCAATAGTACGAGTTATTCTGAAAGCAGTCAAATCTATTGCAGTTTAGAAGTCTCTCTTGCCTGGACTAGCAACCCAATTTATTAACAAACCTATCTTAAAGCCAAATACAAATTTTACATTGATTTGAGTGAGTTTCAAGTAATTCCCTTGGTCTACTCCATTATCCGTCCAACAATTTAACCGATTCACTTCAGTCTCGTCCTAATTAAAAGCTCCCCGACAATTCCCATCTCGCCCCAAACTTTGCGCTTTTCTCTGCAAAAGAAAAGAAAATACCCGGAGTTTATGAAAACGTCACGTCATCTGTAACGAAAATTTATGACTGGGATTGTGTCCCTATATTTAGAAAGGATAATATACTGGCTGAAGCGACGACAAAACTTTTTCCCAAAGTTGGTCTATGCGTGCTAATGACAGATATTTTACTTATGAGCTCTATTTTTGTAATAAAGTGACACCGCTGTCGAAAAAAATAGTTAAAGTGACATTCTCTTTTAAATCCACTCCCATACAAAAAAACAAAACACTGAACGCATTTTCCTGTAAACGTCAATCACCTAAAGGAATTTCCCTGTACTGACAATTGAAAAGCAAGGGGGAATGCTAAAGAAGTGATCCAGGGCGAGTCTGATAAGGACCGATGAGTAACACCGGGGGGAATTTATTCTTCATTATGGACCTACATGATGCATAGATATCGTCAATTTGACATCAGAGGGTGAAAAGTATCATGACAAAGTTAACACTCGATTGTTTGCTATACGAGAGAGGGGTGGCTGGTAGCTAATGGGTAATTTGGATTGAAGGGTGTTGGATTTGACAAATTGGGAGGTTTATTTTGTGAGCTTGGTTAGGCTAATATCAAATTCGAAGGGGATATGGCGCAAAATTCCGGCCGCGTATCTTATTAGGCAATGTTCCCTTTTATTGGCCATATGTCCATTCAAAAATGGCTTTTGCGTGTTCATTAGCTGTTGCCAAACAAACGGAATTTTCAATCAGGTGCGCACATAGTTGAAATTGATTGCAGCTTAATGGATTG